AGTAGAGACGGGGTTTCACCATGTTGACCAGGATGGTCTCGATCTCTTGACCTCGTGATCCACCTGCCTCGGCCTCCCAAAGTGCTGGGATTACAGGCTTGAGCCACCGCGCCCTGCCCGATTAAAGATATTTTTTAGCTAGCACTTATGACAACAAATAAAGCCTACTAGAACATTTTGACATTAATTGGAGTTTACATAGTATCTCACATGTGAAAGAGAAGAAAGACTGGAAACTCAGTAGATCAAAAAGACTTGTCTGCTCATCCTATGGAGTAGTCATTCTTTTATTCCTTTACTTTCTTAATGTGCTTTCACAAAAATAAAAATAAAAATAAAATAAAAAAAATAAAAGAGAAGAAAGGTTTCCCTAATTAATAAATGGTATTGGGAAAACTGGCTAGCCATATGCAGAAAGCTGAAACTGGATCCCTTCCTTAGACCTTACACAAAAATTAACTCAAGGTGGATTAAAGATTTAAACATAAGACCTAACACCATAAAAACCCTAAAAGAAAACCTAGGCAATACTATTCAGGACTTAGGCATGGGCAATGACTTCATGACTAAAACACCAAAAGCAATGGCAACAAAAGCCAAAATAGACAAATGAAATCTAATTAAACTAAAGAGCTTCTGCACAGCAAAAGAAACTATCATTAGAGTGAACTGGCAACCAACAGGATGGGAAAAAATTTTTGCAATCTGCCCATCTGACAAAGGGCTAATATCTAGAATCCATGGAGAACTTAAACAAACTTATAAGAAAAAAACAAACAACCCCATCAAAAAGTGAGTGAAGAATATGAACAGACACTTTTCAAAAGAAGACATTTATGCAGCCAACAAACATATGAAAAAAAGCTCATCATCACTGATCATTAGAGAAATACAAATCAAAACCACACCGAGATACCATTTCACACCATTTAGAATGGTGATCATTAAAAAATCTGGAGATAACAGATGCTGGAGAGGATGTGGAGACATAGGAATGCTTTTACACTGTTGGTGGGAGTATAAATTAGTTCAATGATTGTGGAAGACAGTGTGGCAATTCCTCAAAGATCTAGAACCAGAAATACCAGCAATCCCATTAATGGGCATATACCAAAAGGATTATATATCATCCTATTATAAAGACACATGCACATGCATATTTATTGTGGCACTGTTCACAATAACAAAGACTTGGAACCAACCCAAAAGCCCATCAATGATAGATTGGATAAAGAAAATGTGGCACATATATATCATGGAATACTATGTAGCCATAAAAAAGGATGAATTTATGTCCTTTGCAGGGACATGGATAAAGCTGGAAACCATCATTCTCAGCAAACTGATGGAAGAATAGAAAAGCAAACACCACATGTTCTCACTCATAAGTGGGAGCTGAACAATGGGAACACATGGATACAGGGAGGGGAACATCACACACCTGTCGGGGGGTAGGAGCCTAGGGGAGGGATAGCAGGGGATAGGGTCTAGGGGAGGAATAGCATTAGGAGAAATACCTAATGTAGATGATTGGTTGATGGATGCAGCAAACCACAGTGGTACATGTATACCAATGTAACAAACCTGCACGCTCTGCACATGTACCTAAGAACTTAAAGTATAATAATAATAAAAAAGACACTGGTGTTAAGGAAAATAATATAAAATGAAATCTCCCCTATTACATTTAGATCCAAGAATATATAAAACAATAGAAACTTATCCACCAGAATGTAGCTCCTTAAAGGTCTTCCTTTCAGACACTGAATCACCTAGAATACTATCAAAGCAGCTGTGCTGGCTACTTCCATTAGGGCAATGGAATATAAATTCAATCTGTATTAACCTGTACCTTGGTATGTAGAAGATAGATCTTTACATTCTTCCTCAATAGTAAAGAGGAGAGATTTGCTGTCTTTTGGGGAATTGGTAGGTCCATATCTTGAGGCAAGGAACTCTGAAAGTGCCTATTACTTGTAGAAGTTTGAAGTTTTCAAATGTGTGTGTGTGTTTGTGTTTGTATGTGTGTGTGTTTACTGCAGTAAACCTATGCAGAAATTATTCCAGTGTGCACATACCATTCATTATAGGATTATCTTATAATTATGATGCTATTCTTCCTTCTTCCTATGGACCAAAAATCTGATCTTTCTCCCATTATTTTCAATTATTGTAGCTTTATGGGAGAAGGTGAGGAAACAAATGGTTAATTCATCAGTTTATGTAGCATAATTAAAAACTTGAGAAGATGCACAAGCAGTTGATACAAAAAAAGCAAACACCCTATCAACTGGACACTGTAGAGTGATAAAATAAAGCAGTTACAAATATTCAATCATATTAACAAGTCTCTCTTAGAAACTGGTTAAAGTAATTATATGCAGACTGTTGAAAAGGGAACCAGAGTAATTAAAGGGAAGTGATTTGAGTATACCTTGAAAAATAGGGATTAAAAATATTATTCATGGTCTAATGGGGGTTCGTGGTTAAAAATGTAGAAATTCCAGTAAGGTTCTCAAATTTTAAAACAAATTCTCACTAGATCAGGGGTACAATTTTAAAATTCATCAATATAGGACAAATGGAACACAGTGAAACACATTTTATGGTATATCCAACCTGTGATGAAGGCTGTTTTTGCCTTCTGATGTGATTTTGGGAAAGTTGTTTAGTTTTCAACTGCAAAACAAGAGTAATAGTTGTACTGCTTCACTAGACTATTGTAGAAAATGCATTAATTAAATGCAAAGCAAGTACAACAGAGCCTGATACAAAGAAAACCTTCAATAAATGTTCATCATTACCACCACTGTCATAATGTTTGCCTTATGGCCCATCATTAAATAGCGATTTTTTTTTTCTTTTTTGGTAGGAGGTACAGGATGGTGTGTAGTTCTGCAAATATTCTGGTATAATTGGGTATTTAACATATATTAATTCCAATTTAAATTTGGAAGCATAGGTTTCTAGAAATCTTTCTAATTCGTATATACTGTCACATTTCTGTGTGTGTGTGTGTGTGTGTGTGTGTGTGTGTGTGTGTGTGTATGAGATGTGTTTTCCTTTCATGAATTAACATCATTTTTCTTGTAATCTTTAGGAATATTGCTGTTCATTTGCTGCAGAGCTGAAGGAGGGAGGGAGAGGCCTGGAGGACACCAACACAAACAAGTTGAAATCATCGCAGAAGGGTAAAGTTTGTCAGGTTATGATCTTTACACAATCTAGTGAAAAAGCAGCAGCAAATTGTATATTTTAAAATGACTGGAAGTTAGATGTGGCAACAGAAAATTTTTTTCAAAATCCTCACTTCATATATGAGATAGCGTAAAATGATCATTAGACAGGAAGAAGTTAGAACAACTGTACAATAGATACAAAGATCCTCAAGATGAGAATACAATTGGAATAGATGGTACACAGCAGTTCTGTGATGACCTGGAACTCGATCCAGCCAGCATTAGTGTATTGATTATTGCATGGAAGTTCAGAGCAGCAACATAGTGTGAGTTCTCCAAACAGGAGTTCATGGATGGCATGACAGAATTAGGATGTGATAACACAGAAAAACTAAAGGCCCAGATATCCAAGATGGAACAAGAATTGAAAGAACCAGAATGATTTAATGATTTTTACCAGTTTACTTTTAATTTTGCAAAGAATCTAGGACAAAAAGGATTAGATCTAGAAATGGCCATTTCCTACTAGAACTCAGTGCTAAGTGGAAGATATAAATTCTTAGATTTATGGAATAACTTTTTGTTGGAACATCATAAACAATCAATACCAAAAGACATTTGGAATCTTCTTTTAGACTTCAGTACAATGATTGCAGATGACATGTCTAATTATGATGAAGAAGGAGCATGGCCTGTTCTTATCAATGACTTTGTGGAGTTTTTACACCCTCAAACTACTGGGACAAAAAGTATAACAGTGTATCACTAAAGGAACCTTCTAGAATGTACATAGTCTGTGCAATAAATACAATAGAAAATGGCACAATTTCTGCTGGCTGGGCTGAACTGAAGATCAATCCTCACACTTGAGACAAAACTTTAAGAATACAACTTGGACCATTTCATTCTTCTAATGGTGGTTTGGGCTTGTCTTCTAGCCTGGGCTGCTCTAAACATTTATAATTCCAGCATTGCGGATTTCATCTTATACCTATGGACCATCCTAGTTTATTCTCCCATAAGACTTATGGTGATTATTTGGAGGTTTCCATTCTCTCCTAAAGCACAACGCTGTCTTCATCAGAAAACAGTTGGCATAAGAATTAAACATATGAACAACACAAAATAATTTGTAAAAAACTTCTTAAATATACATTTTGGTCCAGTTGCAAAGACTGTGCTCACAGCACTTCCAATGAGAATGATATATTTAAGTGTACTGGATCTGGAATGGTACTTTGGTTTGGGGGAACTTTTTTTCTTGGCAAATCACATGTGTTGTTGATGTGACTAGAGTATATGATGAAAAAACAATGTCAGAATAACCAACATGAAAATTTTTTATAATTTGGTGCCTACCTGAAAAATGTATTGTGTTTCAGGCTCCTGATTTCAAAAGGTTCCACAGAACTAGTCTGCACTTACCTTACTCATGTTTACATATAGTTGTCCTCACAGGAGCTTTTATTTAGAAAATGTCTGCATAATGTTAGATTCTACTCTTGTCTACATTTTACACTACATAATTGAACATTATGCTTTTGAAATGCTTAACTGCCTGTCACATAAGTTAAACTATTTAATTTGTTTTGAATGTTTTGGATTGCTACACAACACAATATTCTAAATTTAGGCATGAGGGTTTTTTTTTTGTTTTGGTTTTATTATTTTTTTGTCATTGCACTATGGAAGACACAATTCTCTTAATTTATAAGAAGATAGCAGGAGTTAAATTTTGAAAGTGGTTGTGATAAGCTATGAAGTTCAATCTTTATAATATAGGTACTGTTCTTTCAAATAGTCCATTTTTGATGATTTCTTATTTTGTTGAAATTGCTTTAACTGCCAATCACTGTGGTTGCCAAATATTTACTTCAGGAGCAAAGATTTTCAAACAAGCATACATAATGCAAAATACCAATCTGGCTTCTAGTCTTTTTACTGTTTTTGTTTCACTCAGATTAGCTCAGTTTTCTCATCAAAGCAGAATGCTATCTTGTTTGTATTTTTTTTATTACAAGACCCATGACTCATGACTTGCTTTTATGCTGAAAATGGTCATTTCTCTGTTCACTTACTGACATGTGAAGAAGGGTTTCTTGCTTTCTTAAACATTTCTGTAAGGCAGGCTAGAAATGTAATCAAATGTTAGATGATTATGGTCTTTTGACAGGCACAGATTCTGCTTGGTATATCCAGGCACTCTCTAAGGTCTAGGGTTGTTATTAACAAAGGAATGTACTTCAGAATAGCAGTACATTTTATGAAAATATGGAAATTATTTTAAGAAACAATGACATATTAAAACTGCCTTTTATTTACATGATTTTTTCCCTATAGACATATTAATATTCCAATCATAACTTTAATTCAAGAATGCTGTTTTACCAAAAGAAAAAGTTGAAAATTTCTATTCAGCTACTGGAATCGGTTATTAAAAGAAAAAGAAAAAGAATAAAGAAGAATCCTGCTGCTTTCAGTATTTCCTGATTTCAGTTTTGTAAATATAAGAGGAACTTCAATTATGAAAAAAATTTAAAAGGTATCTATCTACATACATAACATATATATGTACTGTTTTGTTTCCTGTCTTGAAAATTTTGAGTTATGGTTATTGTTTTCAGATTGATTAATTCACATATGCTGTGTTTTGCAATGAGATCCCATTAGCTTTCTTTTTTTTTTTGTTTTGTTTTCTTTTCCTTTTTAAATTTAGAATCTTGTTTATAACACATTAGCATCATTAACAGAAAAAAAACCAACCATTTACATAGTAACTAAAAAACCAGCCACTTAAGAAAATAATGTAGTATTCATCCACTACCAGAGAAAATAGGTCCTCTCATTTGATTTTACTGGCAAGCCCAGCTGTATTCTAAACTTTGAGAGAGTCTCTGTCCTGAATACGGCAAAGCATTCAAGTAAAAGGTAAGGAGTTTTAAGTGTGAGGTTCTGAGGGATACTGCCTCAAAGAAGGTTCACGAATAGCCACAGTCCTCCAGTTTACTCCAACATTGAGATGTTCCTGGGATGACCAGCTTAGTTTCCTTTTGAGGAGTTTTCACAATTCATCAGCCTCAGGATTTGGGTTTTATAAAACATTCTTCCATGTTAAAAAAAAAAAAAAAAAGACTCTATCCCATAAAAACAGGTTTCTCATCGCTTCTCCAGCTTCTTGTATTTGGCTTCCAGTTTTTTTGAATATGCATCCAACTTGTAAGCTGCCTGCTCAAGAGCTGCTACCTGCTCTTCAATGACGTTGATCTGATCCAGGTAAGGCTGCAGTCCAGCATATTTCTGGTTTAAGTCCTTTAAGTTCCTACTAATGTTTATAGCAATATCTTTCATTTCAAGATACTTCAAGCTGGTGAGTTTATTCATATTTTCCAGGAGCTTATAGTCTTCACTGGTGGCCGTCAGTTCCCCAGTCAGGTAAGTGGCCATTTTGGAGAACATGTCCCGGCAGAGCTCAGTGATGTCAGCTTCAGCGGGCTCCTTTGCTTCCTCAGCTGTCTCCACGGCGGCATCGTCTCGAGCGGGCTCCTCACGCCCTTCTTTTTTCAATATAAAGTGTTTTCTTTAAAAGTCTGATTTATTTAAAAGTGTTTTCTTTAAAAGTTCATGGCCTAGTGCCTTGGATTTTACATATTTTTATTTTTAAATCCAAAACCTTTTCAACAAAATAGTGTTTGTCATCAGGTTGGTACTAAACACTTATAATTATTGTGTAATAATAAACAAAAAACATAAAGCTTTGAATATAATTATGTAGCATAAAAGTTAGGGTTGTTCACTATGATGGCATCTTAGAATTAAAACCTTTACTAGGGCTGAAAAAAAAAAGAATATTGCTGCTAATGTCCTTTAAAATAAATCTTAAAATACACATAAGTGTTTTGATCTTGTGTGTAAATGATCTTGTGTTAAAATGTAGGCTGCAGTCTTGATAACATGAGTGGAAGGGTAAATCTAGCCTTTATGACTTCTGAAAAAAAGCTTTCCCAAATTAACTCAGTAAATTAAAAGCACAATTAAACTTGGAATCACACAGCCCTCTGCTTCTCAGCTCACTGAGTTCAGGCTCTACAAGCCATGGTTTATGTTTTTGCATGACACATCTGGAAAGCTCAATACTGGGAAGTTTTGAAGTAAATACCATATGTAGGAAGTAGTGACAGTGACCAAGATATAAACACATATACTATTCGGCTTAGTATTGTGTTTAGATGTTTTTCACTTAAATGAAGATTGTTTTTCACTTAAATGAAGATTATTTTTTAATTTGCAGACTGGTGGCACTTCTTAGAAAGGATCAGAGATAACAGAGCGAGAACAAAAGTCCCTGAATCTCCATTTGGTTTCAGCACAGATTGCCTCAACAAATCACCTTTAGCAGAGCTATTTAACTTCTCTGAAAGCCAATGGCTTTGTTCTTTGATAAAAAAAAAAAAAAAACAATAACAATAAAAAAACAAAAACAAACAAACAGTGTCAGGGGTGCCTGTGGTGGCTCACACCTGTAATCCCATCACTTTGGGAGGATGAGGAGGGCTGATGGTTAAGCCCAGGAGTTTGAGACCTGGGCAACATGGAGAAACTCTGGCCCTTCAGATTTTCCAAAACACTGGCTAGTCATGGTGGCTTGTACCTGTAGTCCCAGCTACTCAGGAGGCTGAGGTGGGAGAATCCATAGAGCTTAGAAGTCAAGGCTGTAGTGAGCCAAGATGGTGTCATTGCACTCCAGCCCGGAAGTCAGAGCAAGACCCTGTTGCCCAGGCAAAAACCAAAACCCAAAACCAAAACCAACCAACCAAACAAAAAACACACAAAAAAAACCAGTGTGAGGCAGAGAGGTACTGAAAACACCAGACATTTATCATTAGTTATGGTTTTGTCACCAAATTTGGAAATTTAGGTAACTCACTTTAATTTTTGATATTTTTTACTTTTAATTTTCCTATAAGAGCTAACATATAGCTTTTCTTTGGTATATCCTGCACAGAAAGGCTGTTATATCACTTTCTACAATTTACAAATACATTTTACAGTTAATATGATCAAGAAGAAGATTTCAAAGGTAAACAGCAAGGACAATCAATTCCAAAATTATGGAATTTACAAATTAGAATATTCTAAACAGATTTAAAAAATTGAGATATGTACAGTAATTTTAATATTTATTTTTGTTAAGGGGATAGCAAAGGAAATGCTAGTAACAGTAAAGTATTCAAAGGAGCCATGACAAAAATATGTGAAGCCAAAAAAAATGACACAAATGCCCTTGATATGTAATTTGAAATGGGATAGGAGAAGCAAAGGCAGGCTGCAATGTAGATCTGACTTCAAGCCAGGAGGAATACTTCTACTACAAGTATGTTTTTCTTCTGTGAAAGATTGCTCAGAACATGGGTAGTCAAGACCACAGAGTTTTTATAATCTGGATGATGGTGCAAATAAAAGGTATATGTCTATAAAACAAAGAAAATAGTTAAATCACTCTAATAAAGCAAGGAAATGAAAGAACTGCTAAGAATGAAGAAACTAAGACCTGTTTCCTCAAATTGTTGTTTACTTTATAAACATTAACCAATGCACCACTCTTCTAAGGTGTTAGTTTTACTCAGATACCAGAGGTTAAGTGACTTGCCTATGGTCTTACACTAAAATGGTAGCAGAGGAGAATTTACAGTCAGAACTGGTGGCAGATTCCCATCCACAGTTTGCAAGATCATGCTCTTGTCCCACGACAGCAGTAGTTTTAATTTTAAATCAGCCAGCAGAGCTGCAAACTGCTTCAACCAGTACTTTCTAAGGCCAGTAGTACCCGTGTATCAAATGAAAACAACAGGGTACAGGATTAGAACTGTCAATCAGTCATACTCTCGATGTTTCCTATTGGCAACTTTAATATTCCTCCCTCTTTCCGGCTTGTTTACTTTTATACAATCTTGTAGAGAAATTCCAGGAGTGAGAAGATGTAGAATATGAAGCTGGTTTTCATCTCTTTACAATGAAATTTCTTTCCATCTCTTTACAATGAAATTTCTTTCCAGGTAGCTTCTCAAAAGCCAAGCCAAACATTTAAGATGGTCAAAACTAATGCTTATAACTTAAAATAGAGAAAAACTGCACAATACAAATGTCTAACAGAGAACTCACCAAATAAATTTTGAAATTTTATATAAGGGAATATAGTGTAGTCATTAGAAATTATTCTTGAGAATAATATTTAATGCTTTATATTATCAGGCATTTAAAAAATAACATGATATTTCTGTAAGAAAAAAGTGACTGTATGTGTAAATATATCAAGAAAAGGTCTCCAAAGAAAAAAAAGAAATGTACACAATTACCGCATTTTAGTTAGTATCTGCTTTTTGGAAGAGTAAGGGTTATAATTCTAAGACTACATCACTGAATCTTCCAGGATTGGGTATCTAAATAAATATATCTTTATTAACAATACTGTGGTACCTTACAGGTAGAAAGAGGAGTTATTAATAAAAAAGGAGGAAGACTAAATGAACACTTTGGTCTTAGATTGAAATAAGAGGTATTCGAATAGTAAATATAGATGTTTTTGCACACAAATACACACATGAGAGGTAAATGGACATACAAATAAATATAAATGTCTATGTATACATACTTTTATTTCCTTGCTTTGTACACTGAGAGGGCCTAGAAGCAAAGATACCCAAGAAGCAATGGAATGCAGCAAGCACCTAGATTTTATATTTTTGAGACAGGGTCTCGCTCTGTCACCCGGGCTGGAGTACAATGACTTGATCATTGCTTATTGTGACCTTGACCTCCTGGGTTCAAACAATTCTCTCACCGTGGCATCCTCTAACCTCCACCACTACACCCAGCTAATTTTTAATTTTTTTGAGGAGATGGGGTCTCACTATGCTGCCTAAGCTGGTTCTGAACTCCTGACCTCAGTGATCCTCCCATCTTCGCCCCCTAAAGTGCTGAGATCACAGGTATGAACTACCAAGCCCAGTCCATATTTTAGTTTCTACAACCATTCTCTAATAAAATAAATCAGGGTTCTTTAAAAAAATACCAATTCCAAGGCTGGGCAGGGACAGAACAAGATACCAGAATGCAAGGTATTATTTAAGAAACATTGGGGATGAGTCTATACTTATATAAATAAATAACTGAATAAAGTAAATAAATAGAGAAGGGAAGTTCTTCCTTATATTGTAATTCCAAGAATGATGAAAATAGAAAATCACAGTAGTAATAATTGTTCCAGGCAAATATCACCAATGGATGCTGAAAATAATGTTAAAAAGCATGACAAGAAACAGAATATTTATATAATCTCAAAGTTTCTCCCCAAAATATATTTATTAATTACAAAAGAAAAAAAGTAGCTTTATTGTGAAGAAGGCTAGCAGATACCACCTCAATTGTACAAAGCATATCATTGCCAAACACATCTGCCGAAAGCCTCCTGATATGATACACTACGAAGAAAAACCATCACTGCTGTAGTATTCTTGACAAAGAATACCACAAACTTAAATGTAATCATAAGGAAATATCAGGCAAATCCAAACTGTGGAATAACTCCATAAAATAACTGCCTGGTACTCTTCACAATTGCCAAGAAAGAGAAGAAGATGGAGACATGACAACTAAATGCAGCATGGGATCCTGAATTGAATCACGGTAGAGAGAGAAAAGGCAATTACTGGGATAAAATTCATATGGACAAAATTTGAACAGGTCTGTAGATTTGTTAATAGAACGGGACCAACATTGAGTTGAGATGTTAACTTTAGGAGAGGCTGGGTAAAAGGTATAAAAGAATTTCATTGTAGTATTTTACAAACTTTTTGTTAAGTTTGAAATTATTTCAAAACAAAAGTTGATTTAAAAAAGTAAAAATTCACTAAAAAAAAACAAAGCTTCATATTCATGTGGATGAAGATATAATTACTATGAATGACTTTAATTTTAGTATGCTGCTTTTCCAAATTATCTACAGTGAAGTGTACTACTTTTATAATTAAAGAGAAAATGATCTCTCTTTACATGCTAATTGGAAGGAACAACAATGTTCAAGAAATATAAATATTATCCCAGGACACTGCATATAAGGATATATTTTATATACACACACACACACACACACACACACACACACACTGTATATAAAAATATCTAATAGAGGATAAAAGTACCTGGATGAATCCTTTTCCTTAAAAGTAAATTTAGAAATAGACTCCTTTAAGAAATTTCCTAGATTATTATAGAGCTTTTGAATCATTATTGACTGAATGCTAAAAAAGAATCAATGAGTTGGTCATGCAATATAGGTTTCAGAAGTGATATACATATAAAAATTATAATACATAATCATATCTGCAAGTATAAAAAATTTAATTTATCTTGCCATTTTTTTAACCCTTTCTGACCCCTGAGTTCATTAACAAGTCAATGTTTGAGAGAGGTAAAGAAGTTATAGGAAACACAAATGAGTATCCAAGGCAACAGCTAAAACTTCAGGACCTTTAACCTTTGTGAAGTGTGACTAATAGGCAGTAGCA